CACCCATGCCGGTGTGGGGGGGCGGAGGGAGGGGAAGGGGGGGGTGTTCATACATATATATTTGTATGCAGTGTGAACGTGATTGATCTTGAGCGCCAGGCTCGCGTCCACACTTTGCACTCACGTACATGCCGTAAACTGGATCCACACACATACATAAAGTAGAGTAGGAGGCAATGGTAGCAGGTATAAATAATAAGGAGGGGTGCATCGAGCTTTTTTCCGTAGATTCTAGTTTACGCACCAGGTTCACTGTGCGTGGTGCATTCCTAGTGGACCGGGGCGTGTAAAACCTCTTCTAACACGCCTTGAGTGGTTGGTGATGAGCGTAAGATAGTATGTACAACGTGTGTGTGTGCGCGTGCAGAGCATCCGTCCATGTCGCAACTGCTGCTCGCTGGTGTGCGTTTGTATGCTATTCGTATTCGACTTGTTGGTGTTTTGTGACGTGGTGCGTGTTGTTGATTCTTCTGTGTCTCGTAGCGGCGTCCTGCTTTCTTTGATGTTGTGCCGCAGCCGAGCGCGGTACCTAGAATGATCTTTTACTCGTTTTCTTCTTTGCTTTACGCTTGATTGTTTTTCGTTTGGCGAGAGAAAAAAAAGGGCAGGAATAGCTAATACTTCATTCTATGCGCTGTATTGTTTTTTTCAATGTTTTAAGAAAAGCACGTGTAGTGTGTTATCCCCTTGTTCCGCCGTAACAAGAAAATGAGAAATATAGTAAGAAACATGCATAGTACTGCTGTAGTTGTTTTCTTGTCTGCCATTTTTTCAGGGCGTCGGTCCTTACTAAACTAATTCGGTACAACAACGCACCAGCCGGGGTCACACACGAGGAAGGCCACAGAGCCACAAACGAGCGTAAATCACACGACGACCAAACCAAGGCCAGAGCTATACTACAGTACTACGCCGGGAAAATGTCGACAGATAAAGAAGGCATGAAATTGATTGGTCACCAGCCACCGCCACCCTTTCCAGCGAGTACAACCCGACTAAGCCAAAACAACACTGGAAACGTCACCAGCCAACATTTTTGTTCCAAACAAACTGAATGGAACACGCCAGAGACAAGGGTAACAAATCACCAGACATTGCCAAAGATGAAGGAGACAAGAGAAGTAAACGGGAAACAACCGCGATGGCAAAGGACGCGGCATCGAGTCACACAACAACCAGCAACCCGAAAAAACACTTTCATTTTGTTATGTTTATGTTTGTTTCCGGGTGGGACGCGAGGTGCCAACATCACACAAAAAAAATATCCGTCTCTCCAGACTCCCACGGTTTGGTTTCATTACCTATGCATGCTAATAAACGGCCGTGCAAATTGTTCCATGTATTTCCACACCCGCCTGCCTCCGGAGTAATCAAAAATACGTAATTAATTACGAAAGAATACAAAAGCAAGACAAGATACAAATAAAAGAGGTAAAAAAAACACGAATCGATCATCATTTGCCGTAGAGGGGACGACGGACGGACGAGTGTTGGCATCGAATCACACCATCACCAACCACTATCATCATCACACCCACCCTTGTCAAGAAGTAATCGGATTCCACTCTCCTTCGCTCCACACTTAATGATATTTGTAAGAACCAAGAGCAATCCGCGACAAAGTAACAGCAGCAGAAAAAAAAAGATAAACCAAAACGCGCACACACGTGGTACGTACGTAAGGACCCATTGCCTCATGACTTGCAGTCAGTCTTGGGTGAAACATTGAAACCGCCGTAAATGAATGAAACGTCATCGTCAACCTCCACACAAAACCACGCCCTTAAAAGCTTGTGGCCACGTCAGGCAAAGATCGAGGAGGGGGGTGGTGGTGGGGGCTGTCGTCGTCCAAAAGACATTGAAAGCGCTCAGGTTTTGCCGGCGGATATCTTTGACCCCGGTCTACTGCAATGATACGACGAATTATTTGTTGGCCAGAACGCCTTGCGTGGAAACAAAGAAACGTACACAAAACCTTTTTCTCCCACTCGCTGTAAAAGACTGCCAACACATCCCCTTTTGACTCTCTCTGTGGGTGTTAATCTCGAACAAAGGTCGACTATGTAGTCTTTCTGTGATAGGATGCATAATTTCCAAAAAAAAAAACATCCGACAAAAAAGAACCAAAAGTCGACGAGCATCCGCCACCCAGAAAACATGAGCACCTACTATACCGTCGTCAAGACAAGAAAAACTAAATACTGTGCGACAAGAACAACATCAACATCAACATCAGCAACATACGGAGGAGGAGGAGGAGGAGGAGTAAAACACCACAGACGCCCCCCCTCCTCCAACAACATGGCAAACGATGACCCGTACTAGGAACCTGCCCACGCTGCACTGATGCTGCCCCGGTACTTACAACTAGCGCGCCTGGGGCTTCTTCCTCCTCCTAGCAAGTCTCGACCAAGACCAATAGCCACGTGTCGTCATCTCAACCGCTAGATGTATGAACATACATGGGAGGTTTCCAAACCTCGAGTAGAAACACGAGGAGAGCGTAAAGCCTTCTTCAAAAAGCGCTCTTCAAGACCACACCGCATCGCATACTGCAGGCGCACACAGCTGGCCGAAGCACCGGCAGCACTAGACCGGACGACAAAGCCTTTGAGTTTCGTTCATCGCACGCTGGTGGGGGCCACTTCCATCAGCGAAGGCAGACGTAACCGCATACCTCGTCCTCCTCTGCCTCACGCCGATATACACACTCCACCCTCCGCCCTGTCACGGAGGAACCAAACGTGGCCCAATCCTGTTGATATGCCGCCGCCCCCCCCCTCCCCCTGACCCGAGGTGCCACGTTCGCCCGAACGTTGGAGCGCCACTGCGTCGTCTCAGGAAAAGGGCGAGTCGACAAACGGAGAGAAGAAGAGCGGTCGTGGGAATTGTAAGCAATGGTAGGCGGAGTACCGCCACACGCGGCGGGCGGCCCGCTGCCAATCCGATGAACGCCTTCTAGTTCCGCTGCACGGATGCCGCCGCCGCCGCCATTGCCGCCGTTGCCGCTGAATGCGCCGCCGCCGCTGTGCGCGTACTGCTGCCAGCCGTGGTTACTGCTGTTCGCCGCCACCGCTGTCCTCCCGGTTCGTCCTGGGCTGTCGGCCTGTGAAAGCGCCCACCACTGCTGTCGTCGCGGCTGCTGCTCTCGGTGTCCGGAGTAGTCGCTGTTGTCGTTGTCGTGTCCGGAGTAGTAGTCGCCGCCGCTGCCGTATGTGCTGTCGCGCAAGAAACATCCCATCATCCGAGGCGCCTTGGCCGAGCGGTGGTGCTGCGGATGTATCCTCGTACCCGCAGGCAGGCCTGTCTTTGCCCACCACGGCGGGCTTGTCTCCTCCTCCACCCTATGCGGGTACCCGCATCCCTCCCTGGACCTCTCTTGCCGCCGCTGCTGCTGCGGTGGCGGCGGTGGTCCCACCGTCATGAACTCCACCGCTTGATTGTCGGTGGCACCGAGAGGAAGAAACATCTGCTGCTCGTGGTCTTCCATGCCAAAGTGGGGAGGGAGAGTGGCGGGTTTCAGGCGGAAAGGCGCGCACCCAGTAGAGAAACGCCGCAGCTGTTGTCGCGAGCGAGAAGCCTGCTCCCGAGAACGGTCCATCTCCTCGTGGCCTGCGGTAGCGGACGGGTCCGGCGGCCAGCCGCTGTCGCCGCCACCGCTGCCACCGCCGACTCCGCTGCCGCCGACGCCGCCGGAGGAGAGCCTCCTAGCAACGAGGCCGGCAGCGTTGTTGTTGCCCTCGTTGGTGGCAGGTTGGGCCGCGACGACCATGGCGGCTGTCCGGCGGTCCTCTCCTCCCCGCCCTGGAAACACGGTACACATGTCGCCGCCGTCGGCGGTTTCTCTGGAAACCCTCTCCCGAGGAGAAGGCCACGACGGAGAGCTGATGTCGGGCGGGCTGCGGCTTCTCTCGCTCCTCCGGAGGTAGACTCCTTCGTGCTTGCGGGGGGGCGCGCGTCCTCCGGTGCGGCAAGAAGAGTCGTGCGGTGACGAAGGCACGCTCGACGGCGCTGTCCAGCGGCAATGGCCGTTCTCGTTGCCGTGTCTACCCACCGGCTGGCCCCGCCCTGCGTTCCCTTCCCACGGAGGCGACGACGGCAACGGCTGCGGCTGCGGCTGCGGCTGCTGCGGCGGCGACAGCTCCCTCCCGTTCGTCTCCTCCTCCCGGGGCTCCTCGCCGTCCCTCTCGGCCGTCTCCCTGTTCCCTCGACAGGGGGACAAGCCCACGCTCCTGCTCCCGCCGCCGCCGCCGCCATTGGACGGCGGCACTTCCTTCTCGGGGGGGTGTATCGCGCCCGGCGAGGAGTCGCGTGTCGGGGAATGCTGCCCCCGAGCCGCCGACCACGGCCGGGCGGGTGCCGCGGTGTTGCTGTCTCTCTGCTCCTCCTTCATGTTACCGCCGGCGTCGGCGACCGGCGGAAGGGGCGGCGAGCGCGCGGCACTCTTGGTCGAAGACCCGCGCTCGGCAAAGGGGGGTGCGGAAGAAGAGCAGGAGGAGGAGGAGGAGGAGGAGGAGTTGGAGGAGGAGGGGGAGGAGGAGGAGGACGAGGAGGAGGAGGAGGAG